AAAATCATTTCTCTTAAGCTACTCTGAAGGGGAAAAGTTTTTATCTTAAAGGTTATTTTTAAAAACTTTATGATCTTATTTGTCAGAACTTTATATACTATATGTATATTCTGTGTTTAACTGAAAAATTGAATTCACCGTTTATAACCCAAATAACACAAGTTCATTAAACCCAAAGTACAAAGAAAAAAATGTTTTACCAATCACTTAGCAATATTTAAATTAAAAAGACAAAACAGAGTAACTGCAGCTATATTCATCTCCAGGTGATTTTGAGAGTGAAAAGTAACCAAATCTTTATCTACTTATAAAATCTAGACAATTAAAGTCTTTAAATTATTGATAGCTATGATTTTCTGCTAGGGGTTAAAAGCAGGAGTTTCTAATGCCAAATCCTTTATAGCGTAGGAGGGTAAAGCCTCTACTGTGGAGGGAAAAACGTTTGTGGACTATAGAAAACTGGTATTGTTTCTGACAGGAATTTGCAGAGTATTTGGCTTTTTCATTCTCATATACAGAAGAGACTGTGGCAGCTTTCATAGAATTTCTGCAACATAAGAGTTGCGGTGCATTTTCAGTGCTGTTTCCCAGTTGAAATGATGACTGAGAGAAGAATTTTAAAGCAATGTAAAAAAAACATAATTTAGTTTTATCCCTTTGTCCTCGAAAAGAAAAGCTACGAATTCAAAGGCTTACTTCAAGAAGGGTCCCGTAGTAATCACGCATTTTGTCTGTTGCTTCACCAAAACATAGTTAAATAATAATTACATAGTCAGTAAAGTTACAGAGAGTAAAGGACACCTTTGGCAGGCAGCCTTTAGTGCTTCTGCTGTTGTGTATAGAAAGGGTATCTGCAGCTATATCCCGGAATAGAAATGCCCTAGTAGGAAAGGTGCTTAAACGGTACTTTACCCTGAAGGACTGACTCACCACCAAGGGGACAGCTGCTGCCTTGTCTTATGTTTTAACATTTGCTGGGATGATGAGGAAGAGGGGTCAGAAAGAAGGAGGTAGGAGAGTTCGTTTTGGCACACAGCAGCCCTCTCTCCTCCTGGCCTTTCTAAGCTCTTGGGAAGCCAAGTTAGCTGTATCCATGGGAAGCATAAGCTACTATTGTTCTGAAACTTTGACTAAATGCCTTTCTATTGATGTATCAACTTCGATTCAAAGTAGCTATCACCAGGTAGAGACCATGTTTTGCCACAGAACTATCTAGATTTTCTTATTCATCCTGGCAGGCTGAATTCTGAACATGTTTGAATAGGGTGTATGATATATTACCAATCACTTTTATCTAATGAAAAAAATTAAATTCTTTGTTGCAGATCCAGGATTATCACTTGCACACTTTTATGGATCAAGATATGTTGTCAAGGCAGTAAATACATGGTCTGAAGTGAACCTCAAAG